CCAATGCCTAACCGCCAATACCGCGAAAGTTGTGACGTTTGCTACGAGGTAGGCGGAAAAACCAAATGGCTGGAAATTTGCCAAGTGGAAAAATTCCTACCAGGCCCCTTGCGGCGACCAACCGGAGTCCATAGCAAGGTCAAAGCTAGCTAAACCTAAGGGTGGGTGGGATGGGAAACCGCAGCAGCTGGAACGGGGAAAAGAGGGCGGTCCCCGGGCTCGCCGGCCTTAAATGCGCTAGGCCACGCCTCCCCAGCCCGCCGATTGGCTGGCCTGGTCGGTGACGCGCCCGAGGATTTCCCTGCTCTTGCGGGGGCTAAGAGGCAGTCCCCGCGTGAGACGTGGCTTTCTATAAATCAGCCTCCCCCAACCTGTTTGGGACTGCACTTCTCATTGCCCCTGGCCTTTGGCCATGCACCTGGGGCTGATGGGTCTTGTATCCTAAACATCTGGAGGGCACCAGGTTGGGGAGGTTGCCAGATGTTTCGGACGACACCTACCATCCCTGACCACTGTGCTGGATACAATAAAAGTCGTCATTGTTTTAACTTCACTTTCTCCCATTCCCAGCTACTTTTGGGCACCGTTTTCCTAGTGGATGCTGTTATTGTGATAGGCTTTGAGTAGCCTGTCTTTCCTGGTTGGTGACACTTACCGTATTTTTCGCTCTATAAGACGCACCAGACCATACGACGCACCTAATTTTTGGAGGAGGAAAACAAGAAAAAAAATATTCTGAATCTCAGAAGCCAGAACAACAAGAGGGATCGCAGCGCAGCGAAAGCAGTGACCCCTCTTGCTGTTCTGGCTTCTGGGATAGCTGCGCAGCCTGCATTCGCTCCATAACACGCACAGACATTTCCCTTTACTTTTTAGGAGGGAAAAAGTGAGTCTTATAGAGCAAAAAATACGGTGATTTAACTGTAAAGTCTCTTCTTTACAGAAGAGTGCAGTTTTTATAAGGTAACCCCACCAACTCACCCTGATTCCTGGCTTGACATTTGGTTGCCTAATGTGGAATCTCTCTACCCTTGAGGGCCCTAAATGTCGCATGCTGCAACTAAAAAGAGCTGCGGTCACTAGCAGGGCGGAAGGAGTGGACAGTCCCTATTTTTGCTCACGCAGTGGCCAATGAGATGAGCTGTTTTGCCTGCCGAGATAGTAAAGTTCGGCGGAGAAAAAGGGCTTCTGTTGTGGAAACAAGACACCACAGGAAGGAATGCTACATCTAAGAAGAAAACATAAATATTGCAGCAAGTTGTAAGATTATCCCTTGACCTTCTGCTTTTAACTAAACGATCCTGGTTTTCTCTGGCTCAGAACGACAGTGGCTTCCATGCTAGCCATTTTCCCCCAGCTAGGGTCATTTTTCATTCATGTTAGTAAGGAGGATGTTGCTGCTGTTGCAGCATTGCAAGCCAAGTGTTTTCTGGGTTTTGTCCTCCCGAGACTTTCTCAGGAGCTAGCTATTCAGCCATTTTTCTGAATGGAATCGCAGTGCCGGCCAGCCCCAGTGTAGACTAAAAATGCTGCGGATATGCCCAGCAGAAGGCTTGAGAATGAACCCAGAAACTCCTTCAGTGGGTGTTGCGACTTCAGCCTTCGCTTTGACTAGATGTGCTTTCATTAATGTCATTCGTTATCATGACCTCGTTCATTGGCCAAGAAACACGGAAAGGCAGGAGCAGGCTAGTTTCTGACAAAACCAATGAACGGAATCTGTGCATTCCCCCTCTTGTGTCAGGCTGTGCACGGACTAGGCTTCTTTTCTGAGAAAAATGAAAATGGGAATTAGGGCTTCTCTGGGGAAATCTGCAGACGTACAGCAGAGACTGTCGGCTCTCTTGCCAGCTGGTTTCCTCAACATGAAAGGTGCTTTCTCAAGCTTGCTCATGCATCAGGGTACACTTAAAACACACTCATAAAAGACGGTGAAAGGAGCTCCGTGGCTCTCTCTGGTCACAGCGAGAGCGAGAGAGACAGTGGGAGAGAGACATAGAGAAGGCAGGCGGGAATAACATTCCTTTGTTCTGGCTCCGACAAAAGGTTTTCTATACTCCCTCAACACACAGTAACAAGCGATGAATATTAGTAAGTGCAGCTGCCATGCTCCAGAAACCAAAAACCTCTGTACCATTATTTCCCGCACACACCCGCCAGACGTGCAGGTTCTATCTTTGCACATGTGCAATGTGATTTTCCTTAAACATTTTTAAAAAATAAGTTGCTTTCACTGTAGTTTAAATATAAAAAAAGGTATTATCCTAGGAAACCCCAGAACAGATTTAGGGGGTGCGCAGGGAGAGAAGAGGGAAAGAAAGTTCTGTTGCACAGTCAAATGTTCTTGTGCTAGTGGCGGCACTTACCTGGATATCACCCGCTGCAAACATGTTTTCCATGTCCATGGGTAGGCAAACTAAGACCCAGGGGCTGGATCTGGCCCAGTCACCTTCTAAATCCAGCCCGTGGATGGTCCGGGAATCAGCGTGTTTTTACATGAGTAGAATGTGTCCTTTTATTTAAAATGCATCTCTGGGTTATTTGTGGGGCCTGCCTGGTGTTTTTACATGAGTAGAATGTGTGCTTTTATTTAAAATGCATCTCTGGGTTATTTGTGGGGCATAGGAATTCATTCTCTCCCCCCCCCCCAAATATAATCCGGCCCCCCACAAGGTCTGAGGGACAGTGAATTTGCCCTCTGCTGAAAAAGTTTGCTGACCCCTGCACATAGTCTGAGACGTGGTCCTTACATTGCCTCTAGGAAAACGCTAGCTTTATTGGATTCCACACTTAAAAGTCTTGTGAAACAGAGTGTTTCTCCTTTTGTACTGCAATGAAATGGGGTGGGGTGGGAGTTAGCCCTCCCCTATCAGAAGGTCGGTGGTTCAAATCCGTGCACAGAGCTACAAGGGAGAAGCAAATGTAAATACAAAGCACTTAGGAGAGGAGGAATAGTATGCAGATGAAATAAAAAGCAAAAGGAAGCTACTACAGGGACAGATATAGGTTGTCCTGAGGGAACTTTTAAAAGTGAAAATTGGGATTCCTTCTTTTAAATGAAACAAGATTAATTCAAAAATATTAATCCCGAGGGAGGAAGGTACATTCAGGGTGGGAGGAAGAAGAGAAAGCTACACCACTGCCTGGGGTTTGATTTTTTTTTAAAAAAAGACCCTTCCCATTGATATTATTAAAGCTGAAAACTAGGTAGTTTTATGACTGAAATAGAAGGAACTAATCGACAGGGAAGCAATGCTAAAAAGTGTGCCTCGAGAATAGGTAATTCACCAAGACCTATTCATAAATTTCTAAGTGAGTGTCTGTCGCTTGCTGTACGAGGACCCAATGCCCTCTTGACTCTCCAGGGAGACCTCTGGAGTTCGAAAGCTATTTTAAAATAGCAAGTGAGGAAAAAAACCTAATAATCTACTTCTTAGTCCTGAGGGGACACAGTGCTGTCCTTGAGATGGGAGGACAAAGCGCGTATCTAGTTCAATTTATACTTTGAGAGACGCATGCCTGAAAGAGGATGTGTTTTCCTATAAACTTCGGTCTTCAGGCTACCTGCTTGTCTCTGCTCACAGAGAACCCCCAATGTCTGCAGTGAAAATACTCTCCTGTATTAACTATGCAACGGGCCTGAAGAATGCAGATATAATACATCTGTGCAACCAGGTACTGTCCACGCTTTTGGAGAAAGGTTACTGTAGTTTTAACCATGTAAAACTACAGTGGTTAGACTTGGGAAGATTTGGGGGTGGAAAAATGACAAGAGAGCGCTAATCTAAGCAAGACTAGGGCTGGTTTCCCCAGACATATCCGTGAATTGCGTTTGGGTGAAATTTTCAAAAATGTCCAGGGAAACCCAGAAGTATGGCAACGCATGTTGGAAGTGTTGATTTTTTTTGGCGAATGTCCTTAAAAATAGCTCAAAAACCAAGAAAAAAGCTCAACAACTGTGCCAAAAAAAGCTCAGCAACTTTTGTGTCCGGATTTTCACTTCTGAAACATGGCAACGCTACGCAAGACTGAGTTGTGTATGAGAGAGAGGCAGGAGGTCCACATCTCTCTTTCTTAGAACTGAAGAGTTGGAAGGAACCACGAGGGTCATCTAATCCAGCCCCCTGCAATGCCTGAATCTTTTGCCCAACGTGGGGCTCAAACCTGCGACCCTGAGGTTAAGCACCTCGTGTTCTACCTACTGAGCTATCCCAGTGTTGTCTTATTTGGGAAGAAAGGAAGGTAAAAGGAATGGGTGAGCAGGGAGGAGTAAGGGGTGGATTTGGTGAACTTAGATGCGCCCCCTTCAGCACATTTTAATCATATTTGTTTTAGCACATATAGTTAATAGCTTGTGAGGTCTGCACCCAATCGGATGGCCTGCCCATTATTTAATTCCTTATAAAATATTTACTAACTTTTTACACTGGCATCGCTTAATATGGTGCATTATCGTTCTGGGTTCTTGGTAGATATTTCCAAACGAGGCAATCTAAGCTCAGTACAGTGGTGCCTCGCAAGACGAAATTAATTCGTTCCGTGAGTTTTTTTGTCTTGCGATTTTTTTGTCTTGCGAAGCACGGTTTCGGAAAAGTTTTGGAAAAGCTTCAAAAATCACCAAAGTCTTCAAAAACCTCAAAAAAGGCTACCACACTGCATGCTATGAGTTGCTCCTCGAAGTCAAGTCGCAACTGTATTAACGGTTTTAAGAAAAAGGAAACAAACTTGCAAGATGTTTCCGTCTTGCGAAGCAAGCCCATAGGAAAAATCGTCTTGCGAAGCAACTCAAAAAACCAAAAACCCTTTCGTCTTGCGAGTTTTTCGTCTTGCGAGGCATTCGTCTTGCAAGGTACCACTGTACATAGTTTTAAAATAAGTAAAAAATGATCAGAAGACCAAATTATGTTGTGCCCTATACCAGATTATGGTCACATGGACTCAAAAGACAGATAATATATTTTTGTTATGACCAAGATTAAGAAACCACACAGCAGCAGCAGCATCATAAATAGACATTAATTTTACTTTTTATAGAGAGGACCATGTACTAATTTTCAAAGAAAGGTATAAAATACAAATTAGTCACTCTTGAGTAGACATTGCATACAGTGTTTCAAACATGCCTGTACTGCATATAAATCACAGTATATAAAAGGCAAGTCAAAATTCATTTTGACTTAGCTTCAATCTAAAAGGTTAAGCTTGAGTGAAAACTTAAAAAAATCTACTTGAAATTCCATAAAACCCTATAGAATATTATTACCAATAAAAGCACAGATTTTGTGTCTTCACCCAAAAAAAACCTGCCTGTTGGAGCTGCAGAATAAAAATCTATTTGGACCATAAGGCTCAGGCAGAGTTCAGTTGAGACTATAAATAATTTTTTTTCAGGGGGAAACAATTATTTAGAGGGAAAAGGACAGAGACTCCCAAAGGTCTCTCCGAAAGTCTTCTAGAGTTGCTGGTCTGGTACATCAATCCTGAGGACTCTAACTTTGGACTTATAGTGATATTCTTTCAGATACAACTTCACAGAGGGCGGAACGGGAAGGGCGTCTATGCCATCGTAAGTCGTGTTGTTGCAAATAACTGTCCTGCATATATGTTGAAGGGAAAAGGGGAAAGTCCTGTTTAAGGGAGTCGAGAGAAGCGGCTCAAAGAACATGCAAGAGCTTGGGTCTTTGTAATGTTCCAGGAGTCCAGTGATGTCGGGAGAATGGAAGACGCATGGGTCGTGGGCATCGAAGCTGAAGTTGTGATTCCACTGCTCGATCCTGGCATGAAGGGACCGGCTGTAACGCCTAAAACTGACCGAGAATAAGTAATCTTCCTGGGCAGAGTCTCGCAGCAAAAAAGTCCCTTCTGGCTTCCCATCTAAAAGTGCTTCTGCCGCGTATTTATCCATCACTCCCCAGTAGCAGGGATTATTATTGATCTGAAGGAGGTCGGGGACAAGACAATGGACATAATCTATCTGGGTGTGATATTTAGGAGGGGTTTCCAGCTGCAACAGCTCATCATCGGTTTCCCAGCGTGGCTTGTTTCTCTTCCTAGAGCTAGTGCATAGCGTCACCACCTCATCGTCGGAGTCCATGTCACTCTCCTCTCTGCTGCTCCTTAGCTGCTTGCCTGCGGCAGGGTCACCTTGAGGGTCGCACCTGCAGGCTGCCACGTCAGGAATGCTGCATGCCTGCAAAACCGCTGACTCTCCTCCTTCGGCACTCTCAACGCCCCTGAGTTCCCCGTTCCTCCCTTCACCTTGTGACGACTCCATACTTAACCAACTTTCGGACGCCTGCCTTACGGGGGCAGTGTGCCGTTTGATTAAATGCCACCGGAAGGCTAGTTCGGATCGTGGCGGGAAAGGACACTTGTCCAGCATGAGCTCGCTGATATGGATCTTTCTCTTGGATGGAAGCACCGAAGAATGTCGACTGCTGCAGTTCTTTATGGGAAAGCACTGGCCCACAGCATCCTGCAGTTTCTGCTTAAGGGAGCGGCCTAGGAGTCTGTGGCCGCAGGAACGCTCCAAGTCCAGCTCAGTAGAGGAACAGCTGTGTTTCCTCTCCTGGTTCCTTAAACTAAACATGGATTTCCCTGAGGTGCTGGCCGTTTCAGCGTCAGAACTGCCTTCGCTCCTCTTTGACCAGGAAAGCTTCTTTCCGCTCCACACGTAGCCGTCCTTTCGGTCTGCGCTTCTACTCCGGCTGGTTTTAGGCCTCACATCTGGATTTTTAGGATTCCTTTCTTTATTTTCTGCCATTTCCCCACAAATGCAAACGGATTCACAAAAGTTCCAAGGCTACCGTTGCCAAATCCTCTGGAGCCAGTTTCTATCTCAGAAAGCTTCCATCAGGTGCTGTTCGGATGTACCTACGAAAACAAAAAAGACAGTCCTCAGCTTATGTTGTGAGTAAAAAGGTAAAGGGAAAAGGGACCCCTGACCATTAGGTCTAGTCGCAGACGACTCTGGGGTTGCGGTGCTCATCTGGGGTTGCGGTGCTCATCTCGCTTTATTGGCCGAGGGAGCCGGTGTACAGCTTCCGGGTCATGTGGCCAGCATGACTAAGCCGCTTCTGGCGAACCAGAGCAGCGCACGGAAACGCCATTTACCTTCCTGCTGGAGCGGTACCTATTTATCTACTTGCACTTTGACGTACTTTCGAACTGTTGGGTTGGCAGGAGTAGAGACCGAACAACGGGAGCTCACCCTGTCGCAGGGATCCGAACCGCCGACCTTCTGATCGGCAAGCCCTAGGCTCTGTGGTTTAACCCACAGCGCCACCCGCGTCCCTTTATGTTATGAGTACATGTGTGACAAACCCAAGCATACACTCAGGCTTCCATCACCCAGACACAAAGCGTCAGAGTCTGGCTGTTCACAGCCTTTCTGCACCCTCTCTAGGAATATCTGGTGGCTTGTCCTTTCCCAGGAAAAGCAGTAGAGCTGAAAACAAGAAGCAAAGATAGTGAACACTGCTGCATGTTCCTAGGGGAGGTTTTGATGAGCATATTGACATAAAGGGCCCGGCCACAGTGCTTGTGTGCCCAGAAGCTCTATTGGAAAGGAAAGGACTACACTGGTTTCTGTGGAGTGATTAGAATTGCACTTAATCCGTTAAGTTCATACTGAGACAAGCACTAAATACCGTATATTCTTCCTCTTTTGTTATCCCATACTTCCTTCAGGAGCTCAATGTGGCAGACATTGTGTGGAGACATTCTACTGCTTTAAAAATCCTGTATGTGGTGTGGGAATTAAGGGGTTAACCTGTTTCCAAGAATCAAGCCTTGGCTGGCAGATATCCACTTAGGAAAGCGTTACTAATTAATTGGAGGGAGAGGTTGAATCAGATAATCTATATCTGCCACAGAATCAGGACAATCGTATTTTATTTGATATTTTGAAACGTTTGTGGGTGGAAATGCAAATCAAAGCTAAACTCCAAGTTATATCTTGCTAGCTTATTCCACTGATATTCAGATCAAGGCGATTAGCTCACATGGACACCATATTCATGCAAGATCCTTTTTACCTGTGGAGCTATAAATATTAGCATTTGTGCCAGCTACACAATGGAATACCCATAGCTACTTGCTTAATGTTTGGGGGTTTTTTAATTAAAAAAAGAACAGACTACCAGAGTTCCAAATTCTTTATTATTTTAAATCTGCGTTTCTCAAACTTGGGTCCCCAGCTGTTACTGGACTACAACTTTCATCATCCCTGATCGCTGGTCCTGCTAGCTAGGGATGATGGGAGTTGTAGTCTAACAACAGCTGGGGAAACAATTACAGTGGTACCTCGCAAGACGAATGCCTCGCAAGACAAAAAACTCGCTAGACGAAAGGGTTTTTTGTTTTTTGAGCTGCTTCGCAAGACGATTTTCCCTATGGGCTTGCTTCGCAAGACGGAAAGGTCTTGCAAGTTTGTTTCCTTTTTCTTAACACCGTTAATACAGTTGCGACTTGACTTCGAGGAGCAACTCATAGCACGCGGTGTGGTAGCCTTTTTTGAGGTTTTTAAAGACTTTGGTGATTTTTGAAGCTTTCCCAAAACTTTCCCGACACCGTGCTTCGCAAGACGAAAAAAATCGCAAGACGACAAAACTCGCGGAACGAATTAATTTCGTCTTGCGAGGCACCACTGTACAAATAATAGAGTAACAAAGGGTCGTAAAAATGTACAACTCAAGTGCAAGAGGCCATGGTAAATACATGTGACTTCCAGTGCTTCCAGACAAATGGAACTGTGGCTGATGGAGCTCTGTATCACCTGAAGCACAATTCTAACTTAATTAGCTCTCAAGGACTTCCTCCGTGATCATGTTATGAGAGATAAACTGCAGGGAGGGCTTAACGTCATCGCTGGAAGTGGGCATACTTCCAGGACCACCACCACACTGTTGGGACAAGTGCTGTACAGTGGTACCTCAGGTTACATATGCTTCAGGTTACGTACGCTTCAGGTTACAGATTCCGCTAACCCAGAAATAGTGCTTCAGGTAAGAACTTTGCTTCAGGATGAGAACAGAAATCGTGCTCTGGCAGCGCAGCGGCAGCAGGAGGCCCCATTAGCTAAAGTGGTGCTTCAGGTTAAGAACAGTTTCAGGTTAAGTACGGACCTCCGGAACGAATTAAGTACTTAATCCGAGGTACCACTGTACAGTAAACCTGCAACTTACACGGGCCAAAATCACATAAAGTCAAAACACATTGGGTTCAATGGCAGGTGGGGTTGCCAAACGCTTTCCCCCCAGATGTCCGCCCTCTTCATAGTGGCTGGTGGTGATGGGAATTGTGGTCAAAAACATCTGGAGGGCACCAGGTAGCTGAGAGCTGTTGGAGAGGATTTTGCTTCGCCTGTCCTTTTTAGACAAATGCTATATATATTCATGCCAGTGAGTCATTCAAGAGCAAAACCCCCAGAAGAGAGGCAAAGTAGGCCAAGAAATATTACATGCTCAAAAGATTCACGTTATGCTTGTTCAATATTAGTTCACATAAGTGTGATGTTAAGAGATGTTATTCTATACTGACACTTTCAGGTCACACTCAAGACAGAAATTAATTAAAAATACATAAGTTACATACTGGGAATCTCTTGGTGCTCTTGTCACTTGCTTTTCAAGATGAAGGGTTTTCTCTTTTTCTTTTTAAAGGACACCCCCAAGGCACTTGAAGTATCTAGGGCTTTACATATTGAAGAGGATTATATAAAATCCAGTTCCTTTCATGAAAGCAATTTTGAAAGACCATGGTGGATTGCTTTTTTTTTTTAAGGGATTGCAAGGGGGGGGGGAGAATGACACTACCAAAATTAAGCCGCCTTCAAGATTCAACTCATGCACAACACATGCCTTTGTTTGCCTCCCCTACAGTTTAATGTTTATCTAAACACATTGCTGGCCCCAGGGAATAAGAAACATGCAAAATGGGACATAATACATTTATAATGTGGAGCAAGGGCACTTGAACCTCTGAGGCATTTTTAAAATGAGTATTTTAATATTATTTATTATTAAGCCACATACAAGCTACCTTTAAGGCAAATATTTTAACTCAATGTGGTTTACACACAAATAAAACAAAGTACTGTATCAAAACTACAAGATGTTTTAACCTCTCTTAAAAGATGGTAGCACTATGCTTAGGGGAGTGGGTGGCTGTGATGGTGTGAGATCCTGTTGCTCTGTCCCAGCTTCTGCCAACCTAGCAGTTCGAAAGCACACCAGTGCTAGTAAATAAATGGGTACCGCTGTGGTGGGAAGATAAACAGTGTTTCTGTGAACTCTGGCACTCATCACAGCGTCCCGTTGTGCCAGAAGCAGTTTAGTCCTGCTGGCCACATGACCAGGAAAGCTGTCTGTGGACGAATGCCAGCTCCCTCGGCCTGAAAAGCGAGATGAGCATAGTCTCCATAGTCCATAGTCGCCTTTGACTGGACTTAACTATCCAGGGGTCCTTTACCTTCTAGCTTTTACAACGCTTAGATTCCCTAGAGGGCCTACAATTGAAAAGGCCACAGCCCTGTGCTAGAGGACAGCTTCTTCCACAGGTCTCAAGTGGAAAACAGGCTCCGAGGGGTTTTAAGGGTCAAAACCAGCACTTTGCGTGAGGTCTGGAAAACAACAAGAAGCCAGTGTAGTTTAGAACAGGTGCAGTGTCACACAATTTTGGTGACTGGCCTTCACAAAAACCCAGGCCCCTGCATTGCACACCAACTCATGTTCCAACTCATGTTACTCTGCACCTCTCAGAGTGCATCAGAGAGTCTAGCCTGGAAGTTACTGAAGAAGAATGGATGAGAGATACAGTGAGACTGCCGTCCAAATGACCAGTTGATGGAACCTGCTCTTAGCCACCGCTCTGTTTCAGCTCTGCTTCTAATGGCAGACCAGGAGTGGGGAACCTTTGGCCCTCCAGGTGTTGCTGAACTACAGTTCACATCAGCACTAGCAAACCTGGCCAATGGCCAGAGATGATGGGAGTTGTAGTTCAACAACATCTACAGGCCCCAAAGGTTCCTCCACACCTGCAGTAGATGCTGGAGCACAGCAAGACCGTGAACCTGGTTCACCAAAAGAGAAAGACTATTATTCATCAAGTGGAAACTGACCCCTGGAGAAAAGGGACTACTAGCTGGCATTGGCAGCATTTTGTATATCCATCTAATTATGGTCGCCACAAGCTTGTTTGCAGCTGAAGCTGCTGCCTTTGGGTCTGTTCTAAAGGAAAAATGGAGTCAGGCATTATCTGCACACCAAATGATTTCACTCGGTGATTTTATACAGATATTATACAGACAGAAAGAGGGCTATGAAACTTTACAGAACAGCTCACAAGTGTCCACAAAGAAGTAAACCCTCAACTGCCTGGAGAGCATTAGAACCAGCATAAAGCTGCCCTGCTTATTCCTATTGACTCCAGCAGGAGGTCCAAAAGAAGTCACAATTAACATAATGTGTTCTACACCAAGCTTCTTCTGAAATGTCTTCAGAAATTTCAAGTGATTTCTATGCATTGTTTACTCAAAAGTTGCCCTCTCCTATTTCATGTGTTGCCAAAGGTCTAGTTTTGCTAATACATAGCCACAAATTTACATGGCCTGGGAACAAGGTACTTTAAGGGCTTTCTTCTCCTGGACAGATGAGATAGTGACTGGAGGCCTTCTTCAGGCAACCCCATAGTCTGAAGTTAAGCAGCTGGCCCCCGGAAATGGAAATGCCACCATTGGAGATAGAATGCTTTGATTATAGAATTCCCTCTAGATGGATGTTCACCTGGAGCTGTCCTTATTATCTTTTAGGCATCAGGCAAAGCCTGTCTTTGTTTATGTGAGCCTTTGGTGACCGGTAACACTGTTCTGATGG